AAATAAACTCTTTTCCTGTTCCTAAGTTTGTAGAACTACTCATATAGTTAACTATTTGTGTTTTACTTTTTTTACTTGAGATTGGGTGTACGTGATTGCAAATTATCGCCTTTTTTACTTACACATGGCATGCATGTATTCATTGCATTCACATAGGGAAGCAACTTGGACAAATGGAAGAAAAACCGGTTAAATAAGTGAAAGGGTTGCCATGCATAAAACAAGCAAACAAAAAGTAAAGAAGCTTTGGCTGTGAATGCGGCCTTGGATGGCCCAGAAACTTGGGTTCATGTTGCTATGGCAAAACAACACAAAGGGACAGATCCTGCTGGCTTTGCTCAAGTATCCCCATTCACTTTGCTGGGACTTGTGATGTGACTTAAGAGGAGGAATTTTGGCTTGCTTTGGGGGAGAAGTGTTTGTTAGCAGTGTTGTAGAGAGCTCTGCAACCTCTGGCACCACACGTGGAAAGAGGAGGGAATTACCAGAATCCATGCTGATAAGGCAGAGAGGAAGTGGAAGTTATTCTTCAGGCAGTAAAGGAAAAGTTTAGACAACAAGAAGGATAGAGTTAAGGCAGGGGAAGAACTTGTATGGGAAAGGTAGGTGCTGATTAATGAAACAGATGGTGGCTGTTGGGGAAAGGGCTTAAGGGAACAGAAGTAAAAGGCGTAAATAAAACAATAAGGTCCCAATTCAGCAAGAAATGTGTCAAATTCCTATGCTAGAGAAGCCTTTAATAGGAAACAGAAAACCCCTAGAATCTGTGGCTCTGGCTGCCTGCAGTTTGGACTAGGCAGAGAAGCTTTGAAGCAGTAAGCAAAAATAAATTTACCAAGAGAGGAAAAGTGTGTAAAAGTGTGTGAAGCTAAGGAGACTGCTGATTTCAAGAAGACTGCTGCACAACAGGTGCTTGGCTAGAAGTACAGAGTTGGGCTGAGTAGAAAGGTGCTCAAATGTCCTGAAGCCTGAACCTAACCCAGGGTGTACACTTGTTCATTTTCATTTATAGTTCTTCAAGCACTTTAGAGCAGAGTCCTATTCCCTTTCTAGAGAGCATTAGGCCGGTGTGGGGCTGGATACATTTCTGCTAGTGGCAGAACAGTGCAGAATGTAATTTCTTAGTGACAAGCCATCCATAGGCCACAGAGGTTTATGGTCTGGGAGTTCCTGTCAGTAAGAACTGGAAAATCCATAGGGAAAGGTGGTTTTTTTTTAAAGAAAAAGACTCATGCTTCTAGCCTGTGAAATCTTATATCTTGTAGTATTAAAGATGGCTTTTTAGTTCAAAGGCTAGCTTTGAAAAATCCAAAGACTGAAATTCTGAGGAAGATGAGTAGTAGATTTGTACAAAGAAAACTATTTATGTTGGTGAAAGGTGGAGAGAAAACAGTAGTGCACTCAAGTGATTTGTGTTTCGCCTGCTGCTGGCTCTAACAAATGTAGATTGCTTTACGTACCACTGAATTAAGGAGCATTTGTTGTCTTCTAGCTTACAATAGCAATGAGATCTGTCTTTCCAGTCAGTGCTTTGGTATCTTTCAAAAACACCATGCTTTTCACTGGGTTCTAGCTAAGCCTTATGCATCAAAATTCTCAGGAGCATCAGAGGCTCCTAGTTGAAACCAAATTAAAACCTCATACTTTTTCCTCTGCTTGTCCTTACATACTTCAAAATGTGTTTCCTCCCCTTCTATTTCCCCAGTCTTCTTTCAGACCTAATAAAAGCTAGTAGTAGTCAGGTTCTTCCTGATGTTCCCAGCAGCACATATTCCTCATCTGATCTGCAAATATATATTTCTCAACAAAACAAGGTCTTTGTGCTTTTTAGACCCTCACTTTTACTAGGACTAGTGACCTTTACAACAGCATATTTCAGTGAAGGTAACCCCATAGTCTTCAATGGTTTTGATTTAGATCCCCTTTTTTGCCAGCCTTCCTTGCAGCTTGTTGTAGTACAAAGCATTGGCATGAAAACATAATTAATAAACCCAAAACTCTCATGTCTTCTTCTCTTTCTCTTCCACATCAGGATCTTTTGGTTATACTTTTAATATGCCCTTTTGTGATCTTATTTACAAAAATAGCAACTCAGATATACCCCAAAGGAAAAGATGAGTCTCTTGGAAATTTCTTTTGAAGGTCAAGTTGACTAACAGTTGTGTTTACTTCTTGGGTAAATAGTTTAGGTTCCTTATCCCTTTGCACAGCTTTCTTCTCTTATTTCAAGGGAAATATCTTCCTATTTTGTGGACAGGCTTTTCCTACTTTTCCTAGTTTGCAGGTTTCACAGCTTTTCTAGTGACAGCAGTTCTCACACTGAAGTCAAATCTGGCAGATTTTGCACCACAACTTAATTTTCTCACCTTTTTTTTTTTTTTTGTTGTTGTTGTTGGTTTGTTTGTTTCTTACTGTCAGATAGGCACTTAATAGCGGCTTAGTAGATGATTCCTGCCACACGTGATCAGATTTTGCAAAATACTTACAAATTGTCTGCTTAGTAGATTTAGTTTTAAATGAGTTATTAGTAGCAGTTTTGTCTGTTTTTTGACTTAAATTGCATCTGTGGTGCTGCCAGTCATTCATCATAAATTCATGAAACTCACTGTTTGTTACCTTTTCATGTGGTTTGATATTTGCCCTCCTTTTGAAGTTTGAGAGTGTATGTCTTCAAGCAAGTGAGCTCACTCTTCAGAAAATTCTTCCAGATTTTCATTTAAGTCTTCGTTATTCACCCTTCATGAACTGTCAGAATCAGGGTTGAAGTTTAGGGCTTTTCCATCATGTACTGGCAGCTCTGAGTTATACCTTGGAAATGTTACCGGTCAGTGGGTTGTGGTAGGAATCAAATCACTCCTAAAGATGGAAAGGTATATGTGTTCTCTCTGCCTTTTTCATCACTTTTTTCAAAAGGACTTTCATCCGAGTTGAACTGCAACTCGACATTTTAACATATTTAGATGCTCAGATCAGAATGGGATTCTAAACATAATTTTTTTCTCTCCAGTTCTTTCCCTGTGCTCCCCATTTCTATACTACTTGGTGCCTTATAAAACTGTCACTGAGGAATGAGAGGTTTGTGCAGATGGGACAGTGATCTAAGTTGTATCTTGGGTTTTCGTATTTAGCAATTTTAATTTAGCTACTTTCTTATTTCTTATTTTATTCTTATGTGCTGTGGTTGCTCTTTTTCTGTTTCTCTTGTGTTTGTTGTTGTTGGTGAAATGGCTGTACATCAGTAACTTGGGTTTCAGAATGCTTCTTCGTTACCTCTTTGCACATACGACATCTTGCAGAACATTATGATGGTCTTCTATAGATAACACCGACTAGAAACCTCATTATTTGCTCTGTTTGATCATTTTTCTTTATGGCAGCATTTAAAAATTGAACTAGCAACCAAATATGATCACCAGGTAGAATTAGGTTTATTTTTATCTAGAGAAATAGCAGCAAATGATTCCAGTTTGTATTTGACTTCCCAAATAATGCTCAGTATTTGTCATGTCTTGCCCTTTTCCCAAAAGTGCATTTTGTGGACACTGAGCTTGAAAAGGAGCTGCATGACCCTCCATGTTGTGACAGATAGTCAGCTCCTTGCTCTCCCCGTACTCTGCTGTCCTGCAGGAGTGTGTGTCTGGGTGTTCCCAGCAGCCTGCAGAGCTGTTCCTTTTTCCCCCACCTCCCAGTGGGATCTGGGGCACTGCCAAGCCCAGTTGGAGGTTCCAGGTGCTGGGTGCTTAGTGGAGGATCTGCAGGAGGGCCCCAACAGCCCTTTCAGGAGTGTAGATGCAGCTCTATGCACTCAAGGCAGTGCTGTTCCCACCAAATAACCTGTGCAGAAATGCTGCTGAGGAGTTTCTCGAGTGTCCTCATAGCCCCAGGGGTGCTGGTCTTGAAGTGCTGGTCTAGGTGCAGGTTTTGGTTGAGCAGGCTTCTGCTGGTGCACAGCATGGCACACACTGCATGACAGAATCTGGCCTTTTGTCCTCATACTTCATTCCATTTTAATGTCAGCAAGAACCTTTTAAATGATATTCATGTTGCCACATGATCCTGACTCAGTGTTTTGCCATCACTTAGTCCCATGATGGAGGTTTGGTAATTTCTTGCAGTGCTTTATGATGAGTGTTAGTGGTTGCCAAGGTGCCATCTGTCATCTGCTTCCAAAGGTACAATACCAATGTCCCAGTTCTTTACCTTCCTCATCTGTAATCTTATTCTAGACATCTAGATGACTGAGAATAGAATAAAAAAAAAAAAAAAAAAGTGGAAGAGGCTATTGTGAATCTGCTTAAGCATTTCCCCTCCAAAATATGCAGCATGCATTCTGGGGCCAGAATTTTCAATGTTTGTAAGGCTTGCAGGCATCAGCTGTATTGTCATTTATTAGCATAGAACACTAGAGTTGTTTAACTGACCTGGTATATCATGTCTCAAAATCTCTCAAAAGAAAGATTCTGAATAGTTATATTTGGTGTCAAGTAGCATTGAAAAGTTTTCAGGGTTTGTCATACTGAGAAATGATGAGTTAAATTTATCGAGTTGCCCATCAACCAGCTAGAGCACATGTGAAACATTTCTCCATGCTATAATAAAGGTAGCAGCAGATAACTGAGCAAACAAATGTTTATATGCACCAGAGAAAGTCTGATTACTTAAAATAAACATGTCTGAGGGTGTTAGTATCATTGGCAGGCTTCGGTGGGACTTTGGTATTAGCTGACAGAAAGGACTCTGGGGCCTCACTTCCAAGCAGATCCTAACTTGCACAATATATAATATAAGGGAGCAACATCTGCAAAGAGGTACTGAAATATGGGTGGGGGAGTACTAGGTTATTAGTACCTAGGGTATCTGACAATATAAAAAACACTCCCCTACTAGACCTTTAAGAGAGCGTTCTGTTTCTCTTCTTACAAGAGAGATAATTTTAAATATCTAATAATATTTCTGTAAGTTGTATTTGTATTAATATTTATTTTTACTTCTTTCTGTAGGCAATTAAAAGTCCAGAAGATCTGATTTCAAAGCTCACCACAAATTTCAAAGAAAGTAAATCTACATGAGGAATCACAAAGCAAGTTGATTTGAGAAGATACAGCATTTACAAAAATGTCAAGTTGTGTGACTTCAGTGTTTGCTTTGATGGTTTTGTGCTTTGCAGCTGCAGGTAGGTGGTATTATGCAAATCATGCATTCAGTGTAACTGGATGTGCATGTTTAGAATTGATCAGAAATACTTCTTAATGCTGAAGAAAGTAGGTCAGCTAAAGTTTATGTCTAGGTTTTCTGTAAAACTGTTGTGATAACTGCATCATATATGATGTGAGAAACAATGCTGTTCCTATAAGAATGTTTTCTTGCTTCTATGTTCACACTTAAAATAATTCAAGAACTGCAGTAGTAATGTAAATTATTTAGGTTATTTACCTATTTATTTTTAAAAATTGCATGGTGCACATGTATTTTAAAGGGGAAAGTTGATATGGAAGCCTTTGGGAGTGGAAGCAGTGTAACTCTGCCAGCATGATGAACTATTGGCTATGCTAAAAGGCTGGATTTATTTTCCCAGGTGTAGGGTTGGGCTGGTGAAGCTGAGGCTGCTGGAGTCTCTCTCTACAGAGCTGGGCTGAAAGGGTGTACCTGCTCAGCTCCATGCTGCCTCCAAGACCTATAATCTGGAATTAAGCCCCAATTATTTGAGTTTATAAAAACTATGTCAGACAAAATCCCAGAAAGGTTCATAATAGGTCACTGAGTCTGTCCATCCTTCCTGCCTTATTGGGCTAAACCTCACCTTGGTCGTCCCTGACAGTTGTCTAATCTGATTTACAGTCAACCATTAGTGATGATGGCAAAAGCCTTTTAGTAATAGTTGTCTGTGTTAATCGAGTCCTTTTAGGTTAGGAACAGGCATTGCCATTTTAAGGGGGTTGTTCCTGTCCCATATTTTGGCCTAGCTGGGGATTTTTAAAACAGTATGTTGCAATAACTTGTGACAGAGAAAGGAAAGATCTGTGGAGTTCAAGTACCTAGTTCATTCTGTAGTTTCTAAAAGCACTAAAGTGATTCTACTCAGAATGTTTGTTTGTCAAAGTTCTTTCTGTGGTTGCAAGGGGAAGCCTCTTATGTGTCCAGCTTGTGTACAGCGTGGGTCTTTGGAGAAGAGGCCAAGTGGATGTACAGTCAGTTGAAATGAGACAGTGGGAAAAGTAGACAGTGGACAGATGGCTTGCTTAAATCTCAGATGTCCTCACTGTGGAAAAGATGACCAGCTTTGGAAGAGACAGGACTAAACAATTAAATGTGTTACAATTTGGCTTCATTTCATCTTCAGCATGGAAAATTATGTTATTTCAAGCCCTCAAGCCTTGTGGGACTTTCTCTGGGTTTGACCTTCTTGAAGGCATCCATCCAACGTTAGTAACTTCGATTGTTTAATAGTACGTGCTGCTGACATTTTGCAATAGCTTCATTACAGACAGACTTCCAGCAATGCAGGGTGTGTCTGAGTGTGTCTGCAGCTCGGGCTGAGGACATCAATGCTGCTCTTGGCTGACAACAGCCATTACTTGGAGCAAATCTGTGTCATTCTAGATGTGTAAAAATCTACTTTAAAAGCGAGGGCCAGTGCAGAAAAGAAAAGCTTTTTAAATTGATCACAACCATAATTCTGTTTTGCTGCTGAGGAGAATGCTTGCCTATCAAGTCAGCTTACCTCTTAATGCCAGCTTTAATTAAAACCCACTGATTTAAAAGTGCTATCAAACAGTACTACTATTAGAAAGTTATTCAGTGTTCAGAAAATACAACATATCTGTCTTGAAATTCGTTGTGGCTTTTTTGGTTTTACTCCCCATCTCTGTGTTCCTCTGGCAGATATTCTTGAAACAAACTCTTAAAAAGCTTTGGTTTCAATCAGATGCGTATGAATAAGTAGAGTGACAGAATTATTTTGGCTAGAAGGGACCTCTGGAAGTCTAGTCCAGCACCCTGCTTGGAGGAGGGCTAATTTCAAGTTCTTTCTTTCTTGGAGACTGATTTTTCCTCTATCTGCATGGGAAGAAATCAGCTGAAGGGAGTAGGAAGGGTCACAGTTTGTTAGGGGAAGGTGAGGAAGCACTGTCTTTGTGGTTTCTGGCTATACCTACCTGTATGTTTAGTTTTTCTTCCATGCTTTTTAATTTTTTCAATAAATTCTTAATGAGAACAGCTAGATAATGTCCTTTACAGAGTATAATGAGTACAGTAAGATAAGAGCAAGAACCGATGGACTATGATGAAGAGGGAAGAGATGTCAGGCAGATGTAATTAGAACTTAGGAAGGACGGCTCTCCGAAGGTTATTTAGATAGAGCCTTTGTAACTTGAGATCTTGAGTCCTTTTCATGCAAACAGTTATGCTTTAAATGCAGGGACTTTGTAGCTCTAGGTGAAGAACAGGTGAGAGCAAACAACATGTTCCAGTTGTGTGGAAAGCTGGCAGAGGCCCCTGGGCTCTGGTCAGCATGATGGCCAGGGCACTGCAGGCGTGGCTCTTAATTGCCAGCATACACAACTTGTGCTTTTTCAGCCTTGAACCACAAATGTACTAGTATAAATAAAACTAGGACTCTAAATAAAGTTAAGTAGTATAAATAAAATCCCTTGCTTGTGGTGGAGCCTGGGGGAGGCAGGGGGCAGCATGCCACCTCCCTAGGGTATTGATTTTTATACATTTGAACCTTTTTCCAGCTTGCTCTTTGTTTCTCAAGAAGTGAAGCACCTGCAGCAGAGCGCACCTTTCTTTTGTTTGCCAGTTCTACACTGAAACTGCTGCTACTGGTTATGTGGGGGTTTTTGCTGACATTTTAATATCTTCAGCATTCTTGTATGTTCAGGTATAAATGAGCTTCTAGACAGAATCCATGTTTTGTTTGGTTTTTTCCACTCTTGAAGGTACAAGTGTGTTAAATATATAAAAAAAAAACAAACCCAAAACCCTGGAGTTACATGACATGATACACAAAAATGGATGGTCAAGGACAAATTACAGACCTGCATGTTTTTCAAGCTAATAGCTTAAAAGATTTCACCTCACTAACTGCGTGTAAATAGTCTATATAAATAGTCAAAGAATATTTGCCTGTTTTTCTACCTCCTCATACTACCTGGATGTATATAGCTAAATGCGTATCTGAATTTGATTTGCTTTCGTCTTGTACATGGATTTCTTGTAAGCTTTTATTTATAAAGCTTTAATTGGGCAGAAAAGGACTGCAAAGAAAACCTTGATTACTCTGAGATTTTTCTACTTCATGGAAAGTCCAGAATGGAGAGAAAAACTTCTGGCAAGCTCTCTACCCGACTGAAGGAATTAAGTTTTTGAAGTGGGATTATATTAAGGCCTGGCAACCTGCAGTAGGAACTCCACACAAACACTTAGAACTACACACAGTTATCCAGGCCTTGGATGACCTCTTAAATTAGTCTGGCTTTGTAATCTTGGAGCAAAAATATTCTGTCCTAATGTAGCTTAAATCAAAGGCTGGAACATATTTATTTTACTTGCTGGCAAATTAGTGCACTTGGGTGCATGATGCATGTCTTAGTAAAATGTCTTAGAGGACAACTGAAATGCATACCTGCTCTAGACCTTGAGGGCCAAACCTTCAACAAGACTAGGCCTTCTGTGAAGGAATGGGAACATTTTAAAACTTCAACTTCTATTTTTTTTTCTTTCCTTCATTACTATTAAACTGGAAAGAAGACAGGGTGATACAGTCTATGGATTTAAAATGGCCAAAGATTCTCATTGCAACCTCTGGGGTAGATCCTCTGTTGGTGTAAATCATTCCTGCTGCTGAGAAGGCAGTGCAGCTGTGGCACCTGATACCAGCCAGAATTTGCCCATGGAGAATGTTCACTTTACTTCAACCCCCCTGATATTTAACATTGCCTGTGCTTGACTTGTAGATATATTTCACCTTATGGCTGCCTTTCATGGTTGTGGTCAGGCAGATCAAGACCCTGGGAGAATTAGATATATTGAAGAATTTACCTATTTTCTGTTATACTGAGGTCAATCTGCTCATATTATGTCTTTCTTTATGGTTTTCTTCCAACAGCTCTTTACTCCCTGGTTCTCCACTCTATTTTTAATCCTAGCTGTTTTTTCTTTCTTTTTACATACTTGTTTTTGTGAGTAATCTTGCATGGTTCAGAGCGTGTGTGCTTCAATTTCAATAAGACCATTCACTTGCAAGCTCATGTATCTTCTGTATCTCTGGCCCCCAGATATGATGGTGATGGGTGCCATGTTAATAAGCAGAACAACAGGAAGAAACAGGCCTTGTCATGACACCTACTTGTTCTTTTTTTTTTAAGGATGAACTTCCCCTGACCTTGAACACTTTGTTTCCAAAAGCAATATATGATTCTTCATAGTGTAGTAGAAAAACCTTCCACTAGAAGGTGAAGGACATGATTAAAAAAAAAAAAGTAGAAATTACTACTGGGAATTACTAATACAAATTTCCTTTTATTTTTAACAGTGTTTGTTGGGTATTTCCCAGATGTAATTAGACTGTAATTGTTTTTTCCCCAGAGTGTTTGTTGCCAGAGGTGTGGAGTTTTTTGTTTGTTTAAATTGTGTTTAGAGGATGAGAACCAAGGGACAGAGGTTGGATCTTGAATTCTTAGGACTGAAGTAAAGCACAAGCTGGTTGCAGCTTTTGAATGGATGAAGCTTTCACTCTCTTACTTCCCTTTCCCTTCACTTCTTTCTCATAATCAGCTGACTTCTGCCTCCTGTGTAAAATCACCTATTCGTATCCGTCTGTGGTCTGGGTGTTCAGAGTTTGGAGGATGAGATGAACCAGCACTCAGAACATTTGAAGATTTGCAGTCTCAGAGACTTAGATTAGCAAAGGGCTGGTTCATGTGCTGTGCTGTGCTGTGTCAGAAAAGCTGCAAGCCCTCCTGCAGGGGCTGCGAGGGAATGCCCATGGTCTTCAGGGGAGGCTAATGTGCCTTCAGTTCTGAGAAGTACTATTGAGAAACCAGTGACTGGCTATTAAAAGTGGAAATTGTTCTAATTCTTTTATGCCTTCATCACCCTGGTGGTGATTTGAAACATCTTAGTACCACATGTTTATCTGATAGGGAATCAAATGATGAATTCCTAACTTCA